TCCAGCTCATTTTACAGATGAGGAAACTGAGGCAAACAGGGTTAAGTGACTTGCCCAGGGTCACATAACTAGTAATAATAATAATAAAACTAGTCATCTGTCTGAGGTCAGATTTGAACTCAGATCCTCTTGAGTCCAGGGATGGTGCCCTATGCACCTAGTTGGCCACAATTGTGACTCTCTTACCTTTTTCTCCTTCTGCTTCGCTCCATCCACACTATTCCCCAGCCAAATCAAATGATTCCCTTACAACCACAATTCCACAGTTCCTTCCTTGGTACCTTTGCCTCTTTCCTTTTTTTTTTTTTAAATTTTTAGGCAATTGGAGTTAAGTGACTTGCCCAGGGTCACACAGCTAGTAAGTGTCAAGTGTTTGGTCTGAAGCCGGATTTGAACTCAGGTCCTCCTGACTTCAGGGCCCGTGCTCTATCCATTGCGCCACCTACCTGCCCCCCTTTGCTTCTTTCTATGCCTGAAGCGCTGTCCCTGTACCCAGGCTCCATCACTAAACTACAAACCACAGTCAGAAGCCTTCCCTGACCCTTTCCTAATCACTACTTAGTAATAATCCATTGTACCACATGGGAACCTTGAATTTCATATCAAAATTCTATGAAACACTTAGAGGCAGGTAGATGCTGCAATGGGTAGAGTGCTGGGCCTGTAATCAGGAAGATCCAACTCAAATCCAACCTAGATGCTTACCAGCTGTGTGACCCTGGGCAAGTCACTTAACCTCTGTCTGCCTCAGTTTCCTCAGTTGTAAAATGGGGATTAACAGTACCTACCTTGAAAGATTGTTGTGAGGATCAAACGAGATAATATGTGTAAAGTGCTTAGCACAGTGCCTGGTATTTAGTTTTTGTTTTTCAGTCATTTTCACTCGTGTCTGACTCTTTGTGACTCCATTTGGGGTTTTCTTGGTAGAAATACTGGAGTGGTTCCTTCTCCAGCTCATTTTACAAATAAAGAAACTGAGGCAAACAGGGTAAAGTGACTTGCCCAGGGTCACACAGCTAGTAAATGTCTGAGGCCAAATTTGAACTCAGGAAGAGAAGTCTTCCTGACTCTAGGCTGAGAACTCTATCCATTGAGTCACCTACTTAGTAGGTGCTGTATAAATGCTTATTCCCTTCCTCCACCCCCACCTTTATCGGGCATTATTTCTTCTTGCAGATATCTATATGCATGTCCTAGCTCTCTACTGGTCTATAAGTTTCATGAGAGCAGGGACTATATCTTTTCTAAACTTTGTGCCTAGGACTGTGGTCTACATACTGTAGGTACTAAAGGTAGAATTGGTATAAGAGCCCTAGTGATGAAGGGACAGACCAAAGTTGAGGACCACAAATGCCTACTAGGCAGAGTTAGAGCTCTGGGATAACTGCAAGAAGACCTGAGCTTATGGGGAACCTCAAGGATGTCCAGTGATCACATATGAACATCCTAATTATTAAAGACAATTCTTAAGATGATCTCTGTTTTATGGCCCAGCCAGGCTTAAGGCTCAAGTCCAGAGGGTCTGGAGAATATCTCATGTAGAATGAGGTCTGAATGGTCTTGGCCTTCCAGCCTGGTCTGAAGCCTGCTACTTCCACAAAAACTCATTTGGGACCAGGGTCAAGACTGTGAACCTCTCCCTTGAGAGGCCATAAATAGGATGGAAGATTTGGAGATGGAAGGGACTTTTGGAGTCTTCTAGTCCAATGTCTTAATTTTACTTTGGACCTTTATTTTGAGGTCCCTCCCAAAAAAATTAAGTGACTTGCCTAACTTCACATAAGTGACATAGTTGGTAAATGGCAGGGCCAAGATTTGAATCCAAGACCTCTGACTCCAAAACCAGTACTCCTTCCACTATTTCACAATAATAATATATTCAGCTTTAGAGATTTCCTCATAAAAATCCTGCGACATAGGTGGGTATTATTTATTGTTCTCGTTTTATAGATGAAGAAATAGAACCTCAGAGAAGTCAAGTGATTTGCCCAAGGTCGTATATATCTAGTCAGGGGCAGAGCTCAGGACTTGGTCCATTGCTTTTTCTACTGTCCCATGATGCCTTGGTGTGTCGTGCGTTCTTTCTCTCCGTGGTCTACCTTTCATCTCATCTGCTACATTTGGAGCTCTGGGTCACAAGCTGGTGGCTTGGATGTTAGCTCCTCACAATGCTAGTGACTCTGTCCTTTCTACTTCCTTCTTCCTTTGTCCCACTCAACCAGTTGGAGTGTGTCCCTAGAACTACCCAGCTCTCTTTGGGCCTAAACATGAACCCAGGTCTTAGACTAGTACTTTCCCCACTATACCATACTGCTTCTCAAATTCAGGAAAGCCAAGACATTATTTGGAAGCATGGTCCATGAGCCTGAAACTCAAACCCTGACTAAGGAGGGCTGGGCCTATAATCTTGGGAGGGTAGATTCTTGGTATCTAGAGGGTAGGAGATTGGAGGAAATTACCCACCCCAGGAATGGAAACCTGACACCCCCCAAAAAATCATGGAGAAGTCCTGAGATTTCTCATTTCTGAGTCCTTCTCATTGCTTCTTATAGCACTTGGCTAATTTCAGAGTCTTAAAAAGGAGCCTCTAATTGGGGTGAGGGTGGGGAGAAGGGGGACTTGGGATTTTGATTCCCTGGCTGGTTCAGGGTTGGGGTTGGGGTAAACCCTGGGGAACCAAAGGGTTGGGACCAGTGTTTTGTCAGCCCTCTTGGGCGTGGGGGATTCTGGTCCCGGATTCAGGCGTCTGTGGGGTTTTGGCTGGGCCTCCTGCGGTTTGGGCTTCCTGGGCAGTTTGTTCATTCTCCCAAGGCTTGGGCAGGCATTAGCAAAGCCAGCCCTTGTGCTATGAAAGCAGCATTGTCTGAGTCCATCTGGGGCTTGGGGAGGGGGCATATTTGGTTATGGGGGAAGAGGAAGGTGGGGGTGAAGGGGAGGACTGTGGTCTGAGTGCTTCAGGTTGCAACTGGAGGCCTAACTCTGGGGATGGTTAACTCTGGTCCCCTGGCCCCTAGCCAGCCAGCTCCCTCTTCTTCCTGCCACCAAGTAAGTGGAGAACTCAGCTCAGGCCAGAGGTGGGGGTGGGAGAGGGGGTGGTCATAGAACTTGGAGAGATGGGGGGAAGGGGAAGAAGGCATTTGAATGAAAGGTGAAGGGGAGGCAGAAAGAAAAGAGAAAGGGAAAGTGATGGGGTGCTGGGAAAAGGAAAACACAGGGCAAAGGGACCAAAGGGAAGAAAGAGGAAAATGAGGGGAAGAGAAAAAGAGATGAGTGGAAGACAGCTGGTGCCAGTCCTCTGGGTAGGAGTTCTTCCCAGCCTGGGAACCTAGAACTAAAATAATCTTCATCTTTCTCTTCTCCAGGCTGAAGAGGTCCAATTCTTCAAATGTTTGTCTCCCAGATTACTTGACTCCAGATATTAGAGGCTCGGGTCTGAGGGCCCAGGGAGAGGTAGAAAAATCACAAAATAGGGACCTTAGAAACGATCAAGTCGTAAGAACATGGGACTTTGAGCTGGAAGGAACCTTTGAGAGTAGACAGTTCAATTCCCTTCATTTTTATAGTTAAAGAAACTGAAGCCAACCAAAATCACACAGGTAACAGGCAGGATTTGAGCTCAGATCTAATGATGCCAAATCCAGTGCTCTTTTCACTATACTAAGCTTCCTCCTCAACCCCCTCATTTCAAACACGAGAAAACCCGGGCACAGATACAGGGAAATGACTTCCCCAAGGTCACTCCTCCAATTACTGTCACTGCCAAGCCTAGAACTCAGGTCACAAGATCCCCAAGCTTGAAGAGAAAGGAAAGGAGAAAATGGCTAAAGTGGTGCAGAGGAAGGAAGAGCATGAGGAGGATTCCTTCACAGCAGTGGGAGAGTGGGAATAAAAGCTTTGAAAAGAAAAATTAGGTCTACAATTCTTTCTCCCCCACTCTGCCACCACTCAAAAACTGCCTTTTTGAACAGGTTGCAAAAGTCCCACCGAGGAATCAGTCGAATCCTGTCCACTGCTCCTTGCTCCTGCCCTCCTCTCCCTCGGGTCATTTAGAAGTGGGGCAGCAGGTCACAAGGGCTGTGGGACAAGGAACGTCCCTGCTTTGCAAAGAATCTGTTCAGGGAGGGGCTCCAAGAGTGAGGACGGATAGGGAGGGGTTGTGTGCCGAGGAGGAGAGGTGCAAGCGAGGTGAGCGAATGGTGGGTTGTGGCCGGGGGCGAAGGGGCGGGGGGCGGGGGCGAAGAGACCCAGCAGGAGGCCAGGGAAGCGAAGAGTAAGGGTGAGGGCAAGGGGGCGGGGTCCTGGAGCGGCTAGCTGCTTCGGCTGCGGCGGCGGCAGCCACGGCCTCGGGGAGGCGAGGCAGCGAGAGCAGACAAAAGTTTTCGGGAATAGCTCGGCTCTAGGGGGACGGGGGAGGGGAAGGGAGAGCCAGAGACTCAGACATACACACACCCCAAGGTGTTTACACTGGACAGGCACCGTGGGGATACAAACCGGGAGAGAGACGCAGGAAGGCAGACAGAAACAGACATACATCGGCAAAAACAGGGACAGGCACGAAGAGACGTTTTATTGTATCTTTCTTTCTTTCTTTTGGACGTGTGTGTGAGTTTGAGAGGAGGAGGGGCAGGACAGCGCGAGAGAGATGGAGAGAGTCTGGTGCTGCCGGACCTAAGCCCTCCCTGGGATCCTCCCCGGATTCCCGCCACCTCTCGCGGAGCCCACAGTTTCCCAAGCAAAGCGAACAGTCAGAAGGGAGCCCTCGCTGTCCAGCCAGGCTTCTAATTGTCCCTTTCCACATCTCTTCCTCGCCCTGAAACCCGAGCTCTTAGACCTCCAGCCCCTTCGCGGTCCTCCAGACCCTGGTCCCTGATCTCCAAGGAACCTTACCCCTACACCACTTCTCCTGAGCTGCCAGCCCCACCACACTGAACTCCTACCCCACCCCCACCACTTCATCTTCCTCTCCTGCTCCCACCCACCCCCACCCCCACCATGCCTACCTGAGGCTGAGTCCAGGACCGGACTGGGGGACCGACCCAGCCTGGGGTCTCCATGGGGCGCATCGTGGTGTTGGGAGAGCGAGCCGTTCACCTGGGACATCTGCCCGGGACCTGCAGAAGACCGAGCTGGAGCAGGGGGCGGGGGAAAGCGGGCGTCCAGTCTGACCCCTGCTCTTCCCTCACTTTCCCCCGCTGCCCCGACAGAGCCAACTAGCCACTTGGGGCGGGAGAGGGGAAGTAGGCGGGGGGTGGGTGTCACAACATGTGGGGGGGGGGCGGGACCCGGCTCGCAGTCAGCCCTCCTTTCCTCCCCCTTTCCCTTTCCCCTGAGTCAGTGGCAAACTACTAGACTTCATGAAGCTCTGTGTGGCCACCCCAAAGCGTCAATGTCAGACTCGGGGTGTCCTGGCCATGGGCGCCCAACTCTACTCCCCACCCAGGGGTTTGGGCAGCCTTCTTTCTTCTGGTCCACTTTCACTCCCTTCTCTCCCCTCTTCCCTCTTTCCCCTCCTCCCTTCTTTCTTCTTCCTTCTTTCCCTTCTACGCTCACCTTCTTTTCTCCTTGCTTTTTCCTCTCTCCTTTCTGTGCCTTCTATCTCTCCCTCCCTCCCTCCCTCTCTCTCTCTCTCTCTCTCTCTCTCTCTTTCTCTCCTCTTCCCACCCTCCCTCCCCCTCCCTCTCCTTCTCCTTCTCCTCTCCCCTCCTTTTTCTTCCCCCCCTCCCCCTTACATGTCTGCAGTCTATGGTCCTTTCCCCCACTTGCCTTGTTGGCTTTCCTGGGACGATTTCCCTCCGGGGCCCCGGTTCGGCCCCCCCTCCCTCCGCCCTCTTCCACGGGTCTAGGACCGGACACGTCTGTGCGCTGCGCCGGCCCCGGCCCGGCGGTGCTCCGGGATCCCACAGGAAGCTCCACTAGGTCCGTTTCCTCCGCGCTGCGGAGAGAGGGGCCCCCGCCCCCCTTCCCTCTCCCCCTCCACTCCAACACACACCAGTCCACCACCGAGTTTGAGAGCTGAGCCCGGATGGGGGAGGGGGGGGTCGCTTTCCCCTTCCCTCACTCAACGAAAGTTTGCAAAAGAAAAAGTTGGGAGAGAGGAAGGGAAAAGGAGAGGGGGAGCAATGGAAGGGGGGAAACCACCTAAAAAGAAAGAGTGACTTTGGGCTTCTCTCTATGGAGCATTTGTCCAGGTAATTCAGGCTGCTAAACGATCTTGACCGTGGGATGGGGGAATTTAGGATATTGCAGGTTTAAGTGTTTGAAATCTGTTCTCTAAAACACCGCACTCTAATCTCCCTCCAGCCCTGGAAAGGATGCTTAGAGGCTGGGGTGTAGGGTGGGGGCGGCGGCAATAATGGAGTTGGGCTGCAAAAATCCGTCAAGAGAGAGAGGGAATACTTCACTCTCTACTCTCTACTCCCTTGCCAGAACTTACCACTCACAAACACCCTACCACACTTCCCTTACCCTCCAAGGGCTCTAAATAGAGATCCTTAACTCCCGCTACTTGTTCGAGCTAGAGTAGATGAAGCGGGAGGAATAGACAGGTCTACTACATTGGTACTTAGGTCAGTCACCAAAGGAGTCAGCAACGAAGGTTTATTTAAAAGGGAAGGGGGATGGGGAAGAGGCAGCGGGAGACTCAGTAATTTAGTCTGATTAAACGTTGCAGAGCTTTTCTGAAGATGAGGTTGGCGGTCGAGTGGGAGAGGGACCTTAGATGGGGTGTGGCGAAGGGGGCCAGAAGAAGACTAGGTTAGGGATAAGAGACACGGGTAAGAGGAACTGAAAGGATCTAGCTCAAGAAGGGGCCAGTGGTGGAGCACATCTGGAATTGTGAGCTGGACCAATCCCCTCCTGGGGAGCCTTGGGTGGGGAGGGAGAGGAGGGGAGAAGGGTGTTTGGTGAGGTGGCAAAGAAGAGCATTGGTGCCCTGTAAGTCTGGGTTAGTCTGAGGACTGACTCTAGGTCAGTGTGACAGTCCACACCTCCAGGGAGGGATGTGTGTATGGCGAGGAGAGACACTCCCCATTCAGAGACTGAAGAGGCTATTCCTGCTGGGTTGGTTGGCAGACGCAGGCGTCCCGTAGCTACAGGGTGACCGTCTGAAGGCTCCAACCCACTGGGGATTGGGGGAGGGGTGGAATCAGGTCTTCCTTCAGCTCAGTACCTCTTTTGCTTAATTACAGTAGTCTACTCCTCCAGACTCCCAGACTTCAGAAGGTGCTTAATTACTCTAGAGTAAGACTCCTAGAATCACTCACCATTAACCTAACTTTGAGAATTCTAGTTAGGCTCGGCAGGCGAGGCTGGGCGCAAGAATCCCGAGGTTTCTCCCTGGGGCTGGCCCTGACTCATGCTCATACCCGGCTGAGTTTCTGCCTCCCAGGGTCACTAAGGGGGCCTGGGTACTTACGGCGCTTGGAGATCTTCGGCAGCCGTTTCGCTGGCAGCTGGATCACCGCCTGGATCAGTCCCAATCAGTCCAGAGGGACGAGGCCCCAGCGGAGTGGCCTGGGTGGCTCCAGCGTCTTGAGCGGGAAGCGGGAAGGAGTCCGCGGGGCAGGGAAGATGGGCAATCCCTCCCCGGTACCAGACAGTGCCGGGGCTGTGGGCGGTCCAGGGCAAGCGTGGCCTCTGACCCCGAGCCCTAGGACCCAGCCGGCCAGCAAGAGAAGGCTGCCCAGATTGGAGAGAGACTGGGAAAGGGGGGCGGATCTTGGGCTTCCTGGCAGTGTCTGAGTCACCTGGGAGGCCCAACCGCGCCGGGCTCTTCTGCTAGCACATTCCTGGCGACTTACCTGGGACACATGTGCTGTACCCTCTGCCACTCCTCCCTCTTGAAGACTCTCTGGCTGAATACTGCAAAACATCTTGGTTCCCCCTCCAACGCACACACACACACACACACACACACATACACACGCGCACACACTCTTTCCTCCTCTTCCTTAGAGGTATCTTTCCCTAAGGTCACTTAACAGATATTTCACCTAAGGCAGTAACTCCTCCTTCCTGGACCTCAGTTTACTCACCTGTAAAATAAGGAAATTTGGCAAAATGATTTCTTGGATCCCTTCCAGTTAAAATATTCTACAATTCCTTCTTACAGCCCCAGGACTGACATTTTTCTGCTCTCCTGGCTCCATCAGGACTCGAATCCTCCCACCTTTGTTGACCTCAAGGCTTTGAGTAAGGATCCATTTGGCCTGGGCAAAAGAAATCACATTTAGAAGTTTTGCTATATCTCTTTTCTCCCCTCCAACAATCATTCTCCCTGTGAAATCTAGTTAAAATCTCAGAATTTCAGATTTGGAATGAATGTTAGAAACCATCTAGTTCAAGGGTTCTTAACCTGGAACCCATGAACTTTTTTTTTAATGGTTTGATAAATGATTTCAATATAATTAGGCTCCTTTGTAATCCTGTGTATTTTATTTTATGCACTTACCAGCCTGCCCAAGGGGTCTATGACAGGAAGAAGGTTAAGAACCCAAATCTAGTCCAGCCCCACCCACTCACCCACCCCCATTTTAACAAAGGAGGAACCTGAAATCCAGGGAGAGGAAGTGCCCTGTGGAAATCACAGAGCAAGAGGCATTCAGAGCCAAGATAAGAAGTTAGATCTATTCTTTGCCATCTGACCTGGTGCTCTTTCAGTCCAAAGGTGAAGATCACTACAAAATATCGTTCTGCCTCAGAGATATGTGTGAAAGTGTATGTGTGTTAGAGAGGGCTGCTGCTTGTGCTGGCAGGAAAACCCAGTTCTTTCCCCCGGCCTCCTTTATTTAATGGCTAGACAGGAGCTCCTCAGGTCTTTAATTCAATGCAGTTCAACAAAAATTTTCCTGAACATTGTGTTAAAGATACAAATACAAAAAAAAAGAATTAGTCTTCAAAATGCTTACATTCTACTTAGGAAGGGAGTGGGGATTGATATAACCTATACATAAATAATTAAATACAAGATGTTGTTTGTCCTTTGTTTTCAAAGAGGACCAATGACATCATGGGATGTCTTAACTCCCTTGTGAATTGGATTTAAGTGAGGCAGAGTTTCAAGAAGTGGTCAGCCTCACTCTCTCTTCGAGTCCTCTAAGTCCAGTGGCAAGACGAAAATCAAGATGACTGATGTTGGCCTGGGATGCAGTGAATGACCTTGGCATCTCCATCGCCTGGCCAAGCTCTAAGATGGGAAGAAGGTGGCCTGTAAGACTGCAGGATTTAGAGCTACAAAGGATCTTAAATAGCATCTAATTATAGATGGGGACTATGTCTTATACCTCTTTATACTTGGAATGGAACCCTGGGCACAGTAGATATTTAATAAATTCTTGTTGAATGAATGAATGAATATGTTGGATGGAACCCTATGGTTGGGAGAGCTTTACAGGTTCCATTGACTTCTGACAAGCCAATTTGTGGTAGAGAGGAGAATACATTTTGTTCAGAGTCCTGGGCTGAGAGGCAAGATATCTGAAGGGTATCCTCTAAGCTCTGTCACTCACTAACCAGGTAACCTTAGGAAGGTCACTGGCCCGATCTGTGACTCAATTTCCCTTCACTTCCCCATCCTAGGGACATCATGCCTCTAATGATAATCCGTTCTTCATGCTTTAACACAGGCTGGCTGGTTGGTTGTCTGTCTTTCTTGAAGAGGACCAAAATGATGTCACTATGTTAAAGTTAAGTTACAGTGTGTTCAACTGTGGCTGATCAGACCAATATGAGCTTGGAATGCTCTACCACAGGTCAGGCACAAATAGTTCATGTGAACATTTGGGGTAGATTTTCTAAATTTGAGCATCTCAAGTTTCTTTTGAGCTGCCTCAAGTCTGCTTTGCTCATATAGAGCAAAGCAGCTGATTATGTAACAAACCAGCTTGATTATGTAGCCTCTTCTCTCTCAATTCTGCCCACTCCTGTGGATTCTCCCAGGCCTTCCTCATGTCCCTAAAGAACCACCATAGAGGGGGTGGCTAGGTGGTGCAGTGAATAGAGCTCTGGCCTTGGAGTCAGGAGGAGGATCTGAGTTCAAATCCGGCCTCAGACATTTACTAGCTTTGTGACCCTGGGCAAGTCAGCTAACCCTGATTGCCTCACCAAAAAGAAAAAAAAAAAAAGAACCACATAGAAAGGAAGGAGCTGAATATAAAAAGTAAAAGGTGGATTGTAAGAAAATGAGATCTGTCCCCTGCCAATAACAGCACTAGCTGAACATAGTCTAGTTATCATGACCAAGTTAGCCTCAAAAAAGAAATGGAGAAGTGAGGGTCTATGGGTGTGGAACATTGCATATACCATTAAAGTCAATCAGTGTATTGTATGTTTAGTGTTTCTGAATTTAAAAAAAATCTTTCTTTTTAAAATTTTTTATATAAGAGACAGATCTTTGAGTAGGGGAGGGGAAGGAATAAATTTGGATACAAAGGTAATGTAACACCATAGAAATCAATAAAATTTGTCTGAAGCCAAATAATAATGCTGAGGATAAAATTACCTTGAGACAATTAGTTGAGTCTGTAGATAACTCCAGAGAAGCAGGTGGGCAGGGGAAATATTTCTGGGAACCCTGAGGGCAGAAGGCGTAGAACCATAAAACTGAAAGGAACCTAGAAGATGACACAGTCTGGCTTCCTCATTTTACTGAGGAAGAGATATTTGGGGCTAGAGAAATTAAGTATCTTGACCAACATCACATAGAATTAGTGACAGATTTGGGACTTGAGTCATTCTCCTGAGTCTCAGTCCAGGCTCTTTCTGCAGAACCAGGAGTTCCTTGTTCCCCTAGAAAGGCTGCCAGGCTGCAGCTGCCTTGTCTCTGGAGTAAACAGCTCCAGAGAACTAGAGGGTCTGCCGGCCCCTCTCCAAACCAATGCTCCCAGTTCTGGGCTCCTCTCCCCACCTCCCACCCCTGCACTGTGGTTTCGGTGGTAGCCCCCATCCTGGCACACTACCCACGTGCCCTGGCTACACTCCAGACCAAAGGCCCTGGCCCTCAGCCTCCATCAGCAGTCTGCTTCCCCACCCCCACCCCAGCGTCTGGCCCGCATGCAGATCGTTTTCTTGCTTCCTGTCTTCGGCAGGCAGGCGGGTGACTGGGCTGCTACAGCTGGATGCCAGCTGCTGCCGCTGACTCCCTAGGGAATGATGGGGACATAGCCCTGGCCAGGAAGAGGCCACAAGGCAAGTTTCCTGTCCACCTCTATCCATCCTCTTCCCCAGTGTAGCTGTTAGGGTTACTATGGGCTCAGCCTCCAGCAGTGCTCAACTTGACTCCATCCCCAATGCGAACACAAATCATAAAGTTCCCTAAACTTAGAACTAAGAGGGATCTTAATGGCTGTCTAGTCCAGGGGTAGGGAACCTGTGGCCTCAAGGCCACATGCCCTTTAGCTCCTCAAGTGAGGCGCTTTGACTGAATCCAAACTTCACAGAATAAATCTGGTCTAGTCCAAACCCTTCCTTTTATAGATAAGAAAACAGAGGCCCAAGTGACTTACCCAAGGTCACACAGGTACTAAGTGTTAGATTGGAACCCTAGTCCTGTAATTCTAGGCCCAGTGCTTTGGCCTCTCCAGAGTGGCCAGAGCTACTCTGCTTCCTTAGCTGGTATCATTGGGACAGCCTGAGCTGACTGATGGGTGGAGGGTAACTCAAATCAGATTCCCAAAAGAGGAGAGACAGGAGGAAGGATGGTGTCATGAAAGGAGCACAGAACCTAGATCCAAAAGACCCAGTTCCTGAGTCAGCACCTCACTAGGTATGTAGCTTTTAGCAGAGTCACATGATTTATATTCGACCTCTTTAAAATGGGAAAAATAGCATCTGCCTGACATATCCCACAACCAAATGGAAAGCGCAGTAGAACCGTTAGTTATTGCTCTTATAAGGGTGTGAAGGGGCTAGTTCTAGTGCTTTGCTCTTTCCCCCTCCACTGACAAAGAATTTCTTGGACATTGAGGACCCTTTTTTCTCCCTCCTCTACCCCTGGTTTTCTTGAATACCTGAGGAAGGTCAATATCTCTAGATTTGAAGACACAGCTACGCTTGCCCCATTTTCTTGTTGCTCAGGACATCGAGGCTTCTCCAGATCCCCTTCTCATGCAGTCAAATAACAGTAACTCATATTTCTAAAGCTCCTCACATGTATTCTTTTGTTTGATACTTCAAAACTCCTATGAGGTATTATCTTCATCTTGCTAACAAGGAAACTAAAATCCAGAGACCAAGGACACAGAATTAGTCAATGTTTGACTACTAATGTCTCTGGACTCCAAATCTAGTGCCCTATCCACCACCACTCCACCTCAGCCACACAAAGGGCTAGTCATACCCTTGATCTCACCATCACTCATGTGTACCATCTCCATGACCCAAAAGTATGAAAGTCCTTTACCTGATCTTAATTTCCTATCCCTCCATCTCTACTTGTGCCTCACCTTTCCTAAATCTAATTCCCTCCCACTCAGTAATCAGTGCCTCTGTGTCCTCAATCCTGAATACTTATACTCCACCTACTGTGGCCTCCCTATACAGTCCTTCCTTTCCTTGGCCACCTTCCAACCTTCTGGCTTAACGATGATGGCTCTCCATTCCCCAATTGATAAATGATCAAAGGATATGAACAGACAGTTCTCAGATGAATAAAATAAAGCCATCTATAGTTATATGAAAAAATGCTCTAAATCACTATTGATTAGAAAAATGCAAATCAAA